AAATCTTTGGACTCTTAGATTGAACTGTAGTTTCTGTTCATTGAGAATTGCCAGAAAGGGTCCTTGGACTTCCTGAGCGCCTCTTTGAATGTGCACCCCACCACCATCACCACCCACCACACTGGAGCACTGTAACACTGTCCTCCTGTTGTTCATTTGCTCGAGTGGGCCCAGTAACATTGTGAGACTTGTTGTTACTGTGTTTGGCATATCGAATACGTCATGGGTAGCTTGCCAGGCTTTGCCGAGCAGGCAAAATACTCTCGGTAGCTTGCCGGGCTCTCTGAGAGGGGTGGAGGAATCAAACATGGGTTGGCCTGGTCGGCCGTGTGCAAGGCCCTACCCACTGTGCTGTCACTCCAGCCCAGCAACAACAAAAAAACCAGAAAACACCAAAACAAGTCACAAACCAGCCAGCAACAACGAAAACAAAAAACAAGTCATAGAATGAATGTGTAACTCCACTATTTCTTTTTCCCTTTCTTTTTCTTTTTCCAGAGGAGTGCGCCACCTGGCTGTGCTCAGGGTCGGTGCTCTGAGATGGGGGATCACTCCTGGTGGTGCTTGTGGGGATAAATGAAGCTCCAGGGATCACAACATGTAAAACCTCCGGCATATAAAGACTATGCTTGAGCCATTTGAATGATCTCCCCAGCCTCTAGTGTTATTTTTTTTTAATGCAGTGAAGATATAAATGACTCCCTATAAATCTGTAGTTTTCAATAAAAGATTAAACAACACCACAGTCATCCCCTCTTTGAAGTTTATGATAATAAGTCATGGTTATGTTACATTTAACTTTAAAAATTCATGAAAATGATTATTCTGAGAAAAAGTCTATTAGGAAGAAGATTGGATGCACTGGTTGAAGTAAATATTGATGGCTTATATGTTAACATTGGTGACTGATACTTGATATATAAAAAAGTTTTTTTCTGTTGTTTTGGGGCTATACCTGGTGGTACTTGGGGCTTAACTCCTGGCTCTGCACTCAGGAATCACTGTTGGCAGTGCTCTGGGACTGTGAGGATTGCAGGGGATTGAACCCAGGTTAGCTGCATGCAAGGCAAACACCTATCTGTTGGACTATTGCTTCAGTCCCTGTATAATGTGCTTAGGACTTACTCCTGACTATCCAGTGGTCATTCCTGGTGGGGTTTAGATGCTAGGGATGGAACTTGGGTCAGCTGTGTGTAAGTCAAGCACCCTACCTACAGTACTATCTCTGAACTCTCTCTCTGGCCTGATATAAAGTCTTGTTTATTTTAGATCAGCATCTTTCTCCATGTTGATAGTGTGGCTGCATTTGTGGCCGTGCACTCCAGGAAATTCTTTGTCACTCTCTTCCGGGAGCTTTAGTTTATAATTTCTGCATGTTGGCTGTTCATGAGATTACATGGCACCTGGGGCAGTTTGTGGTGTGACTGCCAAGCTGCTGGAAAATTGGAGAACTGGGGGGAGGAGGCCCAGTCCCAATGCGAGCAGGCTTGGCCCTCCTTTTATTTTTGTGGTGCTTGACATGTGGTAGTGCTGTTTGATTGTGGTGCTTGTGCACATTCTGGTTGTATTACTGGTGGAAGGTCATCACAGTGCTCACTGAGCAGTCCCAGGCATCTCTTCCTGGCTGTGGAATATGTACAGCTTTTAGTAGTTCACACAGAGAAATTGATTATACTCCCCTTTTGAGGTCTCAGTGCAACTGGAAGTTTGGAATTTGTGATGCCAGGGGCCACAAACAACTGCTTAGGATTCTTCTCTGTGCATGTGGTGACACTGGGAATTGAACTTGTGATCTTACACTTACAAGTGAGGTGTTTTTCTTTAAAACACAGAAGATAGAAAAACCTCGTTCATTCCTGGTCATATAACATGTAGAATTGTTTCTTTTTTAAAGATAAAGCTTTCAGACATAAAATATACTTTTTGATCATTACATGTCCTTTCTTTCAAAATGTTTTCCTCTCAAGGGATAGATGTAGAATGGTCTCTTGTATGTGGATCTTAAAGAAACATGGCAAGGTACAACAAAGGGTCAAAGATAGTACAACAGGAGAACTGATCCACAGAACTCCGTGTGTGTGTGTGTGTGTGTGTGTGTGTGTGTGTGTGTGTGTGAGATATGGGAGGGGAGTTGAAGGGGCAGTTGGGACCTTTGAGGGAGGGAGGTGGTTACACTGGTGATAAGTGTGATGTTGAAATTATGTAAATGGAAAACCATCATTAGCAATATTGCAAGTTACAGTACCTCCATCAATTAAAACCTTCAAAATAAACCCAAAATATTTTCCGCTAATTTGTGAGTTTGACTTGAATTATCTATACTCTCATTCAGATATTCAAGTAATAAAATAAATAGCATGAAATAAATGGCATGGTTTTTGTATCTAAAGGGACAGCAAGATATCTTACCTTTTACTCTGAGGAATTCTGATGTCTTCAGTCTCAGTTTAATAAAGCTTTCTTTCTTGCTGTTACTCCGTCATCCTGTTAACAATAGATAGCATTTAAAATGTCTCTCAGAAGGTGGGAATGGCTTCTTATTTCAGATGAACAGATATGCTTATGCATAGCTTTAATTTTTTTTTAACTTATTGCCAGAGAGATAGTGCAGGGGTAGAGCGTAAGGCAGTGGCCTTAGATGTGCCATACCCCTTTGATCCTTGAGAGTGCTTGAGAGTGCATATGGTTCCCTGAACACTGCCAAAGTGACCCTTGAGCAATGTGGCTGTGGCCCAAGAACCTAATTTTATTTTGTTTGAACTTGCAAATATAAAAATATAATTCCTTTTGTTGTTAAGAGTTTGTGACTTTAAACACACAACACAGCAATGCAGACATCATCACTTTATATGCTTTCTCTCATCTAGTTTTCCATATTGTTTTATTCACGGAACTCAACTACAGCATTGAATGTGCATTGTATTTTATGCTTCCAAGAAACCATTATTTTTTGCACATATAAACTAGACCCATTGATATCTGTGTGCATAGCAGTAAATGTGGTTGCTAGAATACTCTGAAGTCATAACTTATACATTTTGCTGGAGGAAGATAAATTTTAACACTTGAGGAATCTCTGACTCTGTGGTTTTTAGTTTGGATTATCTAATTTACTGTCACTGTCACTGTCACTGTCCTCCCATTGTTCATCAGTTTGCTCGAGTGGGTTTGGCTAAGATCAAGTGTAGTATCTGTTCTTATCAGTTTAATATCTGATTTACATGGATGTTCTCATTATTACAAAATACTTGGCATTTCTATGTAGGGGTGAAAATAGTTAAATATTTTATTGTTTCTTGATGAAGACTTAGGATAGTTAGAATTTTCCTTCATGGCTTAGTGCAAGTAGCATTGGTTTTTATCCTGTGCTTTGTGAAGGTGGTCAGTCAAGCCATTTGTTTATTTCTGGGTGGCTGAAGTGGGCCTTAGGGAATGAAGCTTTTCTTTGGCAGAAAAAGCAAAAATTCCATTTGTAGTAGCATTGATCCAAGAGGAGCTTTTGAGGAAAAAAAGTTATTCATCTTGGAGCATAAATAGCTTCCATTCGTTTGGTAGAGAGAAGAAAAATAAAATAGAATGAATAATGTGCAAATTGTACAAAATATGAAGCTCTGGAGCAAAAGTTGCAAACTAATGGTTTGTAAACCAAAGCAGATTTAATCATTCTTTTATTGTTGTTCTTGGCCACGTCTGGCAGTGCTCAGGAGTTACTTCTGGCAGTGCTTGGGGGAACCACATGGGATGCCAGGGCTTGAACCCTACCCACTGTATTATTTCTCCAGCCCCCTGTTCTTTTGCCTTACGGATGTTTTGAAATTTTATTCAGTAGAATAGCACAGCAGGTAGGGTGTTTGCCTTGCACGCGGTTGACCTGGGTTTGATTCCTTAGTCCTTCTCGGAGAGCCCGGCAAGCTACTGAGAGTATCCACGGGGAGCTCACACAGCAAAGACTGGCAAGCTCTCTGTGGCATATTCGATATGCCAAACACAGTAACAACAAGTCTCACAATGGAGACGTTACTGGTGCCCGCTCGAGCAAATCAATGACAAATGGGAAGACAGTGCTACAGCATTTAAAAATTGTTTTTATCTGAAAAAATACTGGGTCATTTGCATTTTTATTGTTATTGTTTTGGGACTACACCTAGCTTTGCCCAAAACTTACTCTTGGCTTTGAGCTCAGGAATCACTCCAAGTTGATACTTTGCGAGCCATAAGTGGTGCTGGGGATCGAGCTAGGGCTAGCCACCTGCAAGGCCAGCATCTCAACCCTTGTACTTTCTCTCCAACTTCTTAAAATACCTCATCTACATTTTAGAATGATATTAATAGCATTGACAGCCTTTATAAGTGTAAACATGCATCGTTTGGTGTATTTTAGGTAGTGAGTTTGAGTGTATGTGTAAACAAAAATACTTGCAGAAGAATCCCAGTTTTTACCTGAGCACATGGAAGAATAGAGGTATCATAAGATACAATGAAGATAGCAGTTGGGGCGTCTTGTTACCTGTTGTTGTTCCCCAGGGCTTAATACGGTGACTTACTCTTAGTAGTTCCTCCACTTTTAGTTGTTGAACTAATCCAGAGAATTAAACAGCATATGTGTGTGATATGTGATAGTATTCATGGACTTTCATGTTAGTTTTCTTTTTGGAGGGGGGCTTCCCCAGGGTGCTCAGGAGGCCTAAGGTTCTTGGTGATTTTTCAGCCAACTGGGTCAGTGATTCAATGTGAGGACCCAAGGATGCACTGCTGCTTAGGCTCTGTGGAGCTGGGGAATACCAGGACCACCCCATTGGTACTTGGGGGAAGCCTCTAATGAAGAGTGCATCCAGCAATGCTTGGGGACTGACCACATGGTGCAGAGGATTGAACTAGGGTTAGCTGCATGCAAAACACACACTTAAACCTTGGACTATCTTTGTAGCCCTGTTAATAAATTTAAATTTCTTTTAAAGTATATTGTTTATATTTTCTTCATTTTTTCTTTCTTTAAACAGATAGAGGGACAAGAACAGAATCACCAGTACTGGCTGAAGGTAAATATGTCTTTGGGGGAAACGACTATTCAGATATAAATCAAAAGCTATGATTTAAATAAAAACTTCCATTGGCTAAACAGGAGTATATATTGTACATAATATTAAACTGCTAAAAATTACTTTAGAAAATATCCTGAATTGTTTAGAGTAGAAGGTAGTGAGGAAAATGTAAATTAATTAGAATTTTTTTTACAGCTTTCTTTCAGTAGACGAGGTAAGTGTTTTCTTTTGAAATTCCTTTAAAGTCATTTACTTATCACCAGTGTAGTTGATTTAGAAGTGTAAGCAATACTTTTTTTAAACTAAAAGGGGAAATTGTTTTTATATACTATCTTAAGTAAAAATTCTACTTTTATTTTAGCCCCTTTAAAAATGTATTACCAGAACACAACAAAAAAGAAGTTACTACTGTTAGAGGGTCCTGAGTAACAAAACTTATGCAGTTGTAATTGTTTCAAATTTTAACAGGTTGTTGGGTGTGGAAATATTTTTCTATGTACCTACATTGTGTTCTTCACTGGCAGTAACTATCATGTACTTTGTTTCTGTGCTCTTCCAGGTCATAAGTAGCTATTTACATGTGACAATTTGCCTTTTTTCAGTGCTGACAGTATGATGGGTCTTAGAAATTGTAGTCACCTCACCTGCTGCATACATTAGTATTCAGCTGGAGTTCTCAATCTTGAGTTTTTTTTTTTTTTTGGTGTCACAGATCCTCTTTGATAATCTAGTAAACCTTTGAATTCTTTCTTCAAATAATTAAGTAGTAATTTATGATTTTATGAAATCATGTATGAATAGTAATCAGTGATACTGAAGTGGATTAACATACTGAAAATTAGAAATTTGTAAGATCAAGCAAGTAGTTCAGTGTTAGAATGCATGCCTTACATATGTGAAGACACTAGAAAAATACATAAAATAAATGTGGGTGGAGTATTATTGCCTCTCTTATGTTTGTTTTTTGGACCACACTTGGCAGTGCTCAGTACTTCTGGTTTTGTGCTCAGGGTTCATTCCTGGCAGTGATCAGTGGATCATATGGGGTACTGGGGAATGAATCTGGGTTAGCCATGTACAAGGCAAGTACCCTGCCTTATGTGTTATCTCTTCAGCCCCAAACTGTAATTTTTAATGAAAGTCTACACTAATTGTTAGTGTAAGTAATATAAAAATACCTGTGATTTCTATTAATGATGAATTAATAGACAGCATTTCTATTAATGATGAATTCATAGGTATTTCTTAATACTGCTGTGGCTTGTGTATAATCTTTTTTTTTTTCCTCCTTTTTTTTTTTCCCCTTTTTGGGTCACACCTGCGATGCACAGGGGTTACTCCTGGCTCATGCACTCAGAAATTACTCTGGCGGTGCTCAGGGGACCATGTGGGATGCTGGAAATTGAACCCGGGTTGGCTGCGTGCAAGACAAACACCCTACCCACTGTGCTATTATTCCAGCCTCTTACCTTTTCATTGATTCATCATAAGATACAGCTTCAAACTTTGATATTAGAGTTTTGGTCATGCAGTGATCAATCACCCATCCCTTCACCAGTGCACATTTTCTTTTCCACCACCAAAATCCTCAGTATCCCTCCGCCCCCCCCCCCCCCCCCCCCCCAATTCCAACCCTTCCCCTGCCTGTGTGGCAGATGATTTCCACAGGACTCTCCACTGTGATTACGTTCAGTATTTCAGCACCAGTCCCACCACCAGTCAAACCTGCCGAAAAGGCAATGAATGCTAGACAATTTGTTTTGTATGGCTTGTTGTGGATAGCATATAATGTCATGCAGCTGCGAGAGCAGCCACACGCTCTAGGAATTCTAAAATTTTAATAATTAGGGTCTGGAGAGATCTCTGCAGTGAGCTCTTTGGTTCTGAGATACATGTGTATTTCTGGATCATGGCAGATGCATGTGTCTGGATCGTGCAGTGTAGGTGCTTAATAAGTAGCCCGGGGGGCAGTTGTGGGAGTCATCTCAGAGTCCCATGGGGCAGGGGAAGGAGAAGGGCTGGCTCATCCCCTGTCCCGTGAAGCCTGGTGTTTGCCACTTCTGCTCCCGCGTACCTGGACTTTTTGTTGGGTTCTAGAAGATGGCAGCCGCTGGGGTTCGTAGGGGACAGGTGGAGGAGCAGCACCTGCTCCCATCTGGAGTGGCCCAGTAAAAGTGGCCTTTTGCAGAGTCCGAAGGCATCTCTGCAGTGAGCTGCTCAGTTTCGAGATTGGTATGTGTGTGTCTCTCTTGTTGTGTATAATCTTGATTGGAAAAATTGCTAAACTTTTACATCAAAAGTTACTGAAAAGGTTTTTACCCAAATTCACTGAATTTTCTTTGGGGCTCCTAGATTAAAAAAAAATTCTTAGTGAAATGTCAGCTAGGCCTTGTTTTCTATTGCTTTTAAGTTAAGTGTAGTTTTTAAAGTTCTATATAACTAGTCTCAAGCAGAATTACATGCTTTTTTTCTTTAAGCAGTATTCTAATGTAAGCTTGAATTGCTTGAAGTAGCTTTGAAAAAACTTATCATTAACTAAAGAAACAGTATGCTGTAAGAAAAGGGAGTTGCACAATGAATGTTAACCCTTGAACAGTGCCTAAACTCTCATTATACATCAAGGAATACGAAATAAACATACAAGGAGTAAAAAAATACCAGTATGAAGTACCCGAAATTTAAATGAGAAATGCCGTAATCAGTTGCCATATATCAAGTGGCTGCATATATCAAGTATTCATACTTGTGCTTGGGGAACACACAAAAAGCCAATTCTTGTTTAAAAAATAAAAATCATTTGTAGTTCCTGAAGTAGTTATAACCTAGATCTTCAACCTTTTCACTTTAGCACACTGGCAACTCCTGCTTATGATCCACAGACTGGCAGTTAAAACCGAGGCAGTAGACCAGTAGTTTTCAACCTATCTACACTGATGGATCGGCACCAATCAATATACTTGGTGGCGATGGAAGACCTCGGATACAAACTAATGATGTTAATGTGCCAGCCTATGCTAGGAAGACCCTGGAGTGCTGTCCTAATTTGAATGTTTGTTCAGTACTTTGTAGTTGGCTGCAGATAAAGGGAATATTAACTATGACTGGCCTATTGAGGTTTGGTTGATTGCTTAATAGCACTGATACTATTTTGAAGGGGATACAGTAGAATATCTTCTGATTCTGTGTTGGGGGAAGTACTTGATTTTTTGTTTTTTAAATCAATGTGGAGTGAATGATCCTCTTTTTTTTTTTTAAAGATGCTCTTAAAAGCTGTAATGTCAGGATTATTGACTCAGCCACCTTTTAAAAACTAATTTGTTCATTGGGTGAGGCACTTGGTTTGCATGTAGCCTACTCTGATTTGAATCCCTGGCACTACATACCTGTGCACTGCAAGGAGTCATCCTGATCATCACAGCCAGGAAAAGCTGAATACTACTGGATATGGCCCAAAAACTTAGGAACAAAAATATGCTGTTTTTCCCAAAGTTACCAAGTCTAGAGTTGTTTTCTTTTATAAAATTGGAGAATTAAGTCCATGATTGAAGTAATTTTTATATATCCTATTCTGAGCTTAGATTGCCTTCTTTTCTCATTCTCTTCACTATTTCTTCCCCCTTTTTCTTTCTAACAACACTAGTCATATATCAGGAATATTTAAAGTAGCTTTGTGGGGTTGGAGCTATAGTACAGTGGGTAAGGTGCTTGCTTTGCATATGGCTGACCTATGTTTGATCTCCGGCATCCCATAACCTACCAGGAGTGCAGAACCAGGAGTAATCCTTGAGCATTGCTGGGTGTGCCCCTCCCCCCAAAAAAAGATGAAAAAATAGCTATGTGATTTGAGTTCTGATTTATATAAATATAGCTCTTGTGTGTGATGCAATATATATGCTATCCAAAGCTACAAAGCTATAATAGATAACATACTTGGTTCAAAAATAAACCTTCATAAACAAGGTGGTAGTTTGAGGGTTTTGGGGGAAGGGTTTCGCAAATAGTTCTCCGGAGGCCCTCATGTCACCCTTGACAATCCTGGGCCAGGTGGGTTGGCAGCTCAACACAAAGGATTCTGTGCTGCTAAGGCCCTTGATACTCCGAACCACCAGGACCATCCCAGTTGTTCTGGGGTTGGAGAGGTGGGTCAGGCCATGAACATACCCATCAATGTTCTAGGTCCTCCAGAACTGCACTTGGCGATACTTTGTGTACAAGTTGGGAGGAGGAGGGAGGCCAGTGGTCACACTGGGATCAGGCACATGCTTTGCATGTGCCCTAATTCCTGATTATGTCCCTAGAGCAATTCTCAGGGTTTTTTGGTTTTGGTTTGAGATCTCACCTGGCAGTGCTCAGGGTTCACTCCTGGCTCTGCACTTAGGGATCTCTTCTGAGGGGACTCAGAGGACCATATGGGATGGTGGAGATTGACCCAGTTCAGCCACATGCAAGGCAAGTATTTGTACCAACTGTACTATCTTTCCACCCTCAATTCTGAGAACTTTTAGAAAAATATTTTCATTGCACACCCATTTTATACACTCCTAAATTGCTTACTTTGGAATTTTGTACTGTTTCATTACTGTACCCTGTGCCTATTCTTGGTCCAAGATGTTGTATCAGAAAATGTAGCTTCAGCAGTATTTTACTTTGGTGACTTTTACTTCATGTTTTGGGCCATACCCGTCATGCTGGGGGAGGGTGGAGACTACTTCCTACTTTACTGGGGAACCATGTGGTGCCAGGGATTGAGTTTCAGTCTCCCACATGCAGCACATATGTTCTGCCTGGTGAGCTGTCTCTCTGGACTCGTGGCTTTATTTTTAATGACTGGGATGCATAAAGGGAGTAGTTTTAGTAATCTCTGAATCAAACTCAAGATGCCATGACAATCTGATAGAATAGAATGCTGATATTTAAGTATGGTTCACTTCTGTTAATGGTGTAGTGTTGGTTTCCTAATTTATCTTTATTACGTATTACCAGGCACTCTCCTGAGTTATTTCTTTAAAATAGCTCAAATAAATTTTTTTCATTTCATTTCAAAAATCCACTAGATGTCAGCATTAGGAAAGATGAAGTGAACATGTAATATCAGAAACAAAAGCACTATGAGAGATTTACCCTAGTAAGAAAATTTAACTTGTGTAAGTCATATAGTTTGTGATGGATCAAAAGACTAGAAATCAAATTTCTTTGATTTTCATTTTATTGTTT